GGGAGGTGTCCCTGCTCATGGCAGAGGGGTTGGAACTGGGGGATCCTTGGGGTCCCTTCCAACCCTGACAGATTCTGATCTGTTTGGCAGAGGACTTAGTAGTCTTGGCTTGATGGTTGGACTTGATGATCTTAAAGGCCTCTTCCAACCTAAAGGATTCTTTGATTCTAAGTACCTTTATTAATTTATTGCACCATACTTTTGTTCACCCCACTGTAAAGAATTTAATAGTTCTGTGAGACATTTCATGTAGAGCAGTCAAAAAGCCACAGTGCTGGCAAAAATTCTCTATTTTATCAGCAAGAGAACAAAGGATTAGCTCAAATATGCTCTAAAAATACAATATATTGGCTCCCAGGGCAAGAAATGGACCAAAATACACATAATTCACCAAAGATTCAGCCACAAACAAAACCAAGTTGATGCTACTGTCAGCTACTTACATTTTCTAACAGCATTTCTCTCTCATCCTCCACTTCTTGACTCCAGACAGTCATATCATTTTTAGTCTTCTGGGTGACAGTTAACACTGTCAAACGGTTGGCATTCACTTCTGGGAACATGGATTCAAAGTCTAAAAGGAGTGAAACCAGCAAATTATGCCTTGTTCTTACATTTCACTTGTGGTTTTTCACTTTGAGACAAATTCTTGCCCCTGCTTTGGGGCTTTCCTGGCCTTGAAATCCAAGATCTGTGTTTTTCAGATCCAGCTGGTTTGAAATGCTGAGGCTGCTTTGTGGGAATTCCTGCACCTTGGCAAGGTGCTGGGAAAAGCAACTTAGGGGAGTGGAATTATCTCCAGATCCACCACAGTTCTCTCACTGCTTCGTGTGGGACTACAAACAGGAATGCACATGAGGCATTCAAGTCATGATGAGACCTCATGGAGCCTTGTTTTCTGTGTGGAGAGGAAAAAAGCACTGCCCAGAACTAAAAGTCCAAAGGTTCATTTGAAAAGTCTGCTCTTTTCAGAGCCTAGATCCACCACAATTCTCTCACTGCTTCATGTGGGACTACAAACAGGAATAAAGCACTGCCCAGAACTAAAAGTCCAAAGGTTCATTTGAAAAGTCTGCTCTTTTCAGAGCCTAGACCAAGATTTCAGTCTTTTCTTTCAGTAAATCACTCCTAAAATTAGAAAGTTTTACTCCAAAATAATTCATTTCAATCATTTCCTTCTTGAACAAGAGAGACACAAACCCCCAATGCTTTCAGAGGTTTGACCCTTTCAATCTGCCAAAAGATTTGATTTTGCCACAAATTGGTTTTTTTACATGGTGAATTAATTCCAGAATCTACCTGATACTAAAGCAGCAGAAAGTTACTCCCCACCTGAGATGATTTTGAATTGAAAGGCACTGAATTTTCTATGTTTTGATAAGTTTTGATTTCTCAGCTGTCAATAAAAAGTGAAAATATACCTTTTTGTAACAGTTCAGGACAAGCTTGCACTGCACATTCCACCTTTGCATTTTCAAAGTAAGCTTCTGCATTATTTATTTGCTGTTTCTGTGGAACATCAGCACCCTGAAAAAGGAAAATGGAACTTTTCTCATTGCATGACAGACAACAGGAGTTAATTTGCAATTACCATTTTCCAAATATTCCAAGTGGAAGACAAGAGGTATTATCTATTCCTTAAAACCATACAGAAATTTTTAAGGTTTATATTTTATTCTAACCTTATTACCTCAAAGCTGACCCACACAAGCTGAAAATGGGGTCTGGGGAGCTCACCAGAAGCTTGAGCATTCAGAACCCTTTGGAATGCAACACTAGGGATACAAAAAAAACCCACTACACAGCTTTTTTACTGTGGTGATTTGCTGGTTGACTCCCAAAATCCAAACACAGCACACACTGGGAGAGCCTGGAAAGCTGAGTCAGCAGCTACTCAACAAACACACATTTGTTGAAGTCTCAGTGGCAGATCTGAGGTTCACCCACCTGGATTTGCTTCTGCTGGGGTTGTCAGGGCTAAACTCTGTCCAGACTAGGTCCAGATCCCTTAAATGAAATACTGAAGTGCCCTTTGATAAAAGTCAGTGAGACTTGCTAAACAGCAAGTCTGAAATTGAGGTTTTCTTTTCCCATATTCACATCAAGCTGCTGCTAAAATGTTGTTTCACTCAGTCAAAAAAACACCACACCCTAAAATATTTCTTTCTCCTCAAAGAAAAACTCCAGCTAGGTTCTGTGTAATCTCTCACTCACCCTAATCCATCTTTCAAAGCTGCCTAGAAACCCAACAGGATCTTTTTTCAGGAGGAAGAGAGTTGAGCCATGTTTCCCTTAAGACAAGAAATACCAGTTTCACCCAGAAGAGACTTGTCCTTACCTGGAATTCATTCATGTATTGGGCCATTACAAACTCATGCCTTTCACTTGCTGAAGGCTCTGCTAAGACATCAGGCAGAGTTTTTGAAACCTGGCTTTTCTTCTGAGAAGCAGTGCCATTGAGGTGACAGTCAAACCCAATATTCCCAGGCAGCTGGAATCTCTGGTCCTGAGGCCCAAATGGACCCATTACTTCATCTGGCCACACGGTTCTTGGACCTGCAAAAGTCAAGGTCTTGTTTTAGTCATCATATCTAAAAAAAAAGGGGAAAAACTAAGAGAAAACCCCCTCTCCCATCCAAATATCTGCATTTGATCACAATCACCCACAAAAATAAGTACAGTGCACAAGCCAAGGGGCTGACATAAAAAGCACACGTCAGATTTCCCATAATTAGAGGGGGTGCAAAATTCTGCCAGCACACAAATTGGAGGAAAATGAAGTTGCTTTTTTTCTTACATAGATCAGGAGGTGCAGCAGCAACATGAGGCTCATCTGAGCCAGAGGAACCTGCTGTAGAAAAAGCCTTGGGATTTACAACTCTTTTGACTAAGGAATAAAACCCTGGGAGGTAGGTGACCAATCTTGCTCTGTTACAGAGCACCTGAGAAAAGAAAAACAGAGTAAGTATCACACAGCAGAAACACTACTTCAAGTACAGCTTTGTGGATCACAAGAGAAATCCTCACTCTGTAGCTAAATAACTCAACTCAAGGGGATGAACCTGAAAAGTCTCAGCTATTTTTTATGCTTTAAAAAGGAGACAGACAACTCCCACGATGCATTTACAGAGAAAAACAGCCAAACATATACTCAAAACTCAGTTAGAGGAGGAATCTTTTAAAAAAAATGCAAGATTAGCACAAAAGCACTAAATACTCTTGCCTAAAGTTGCACAAAACCAGGCACTACTGGGAAATATAAATCCCACCTGCCAAAATGTGCATAAATAAATACTTAAAGTGTCATAAAACCTGATTTTCCAGGTAAGGAAAATAATTTCCCTCAAGGAACTGACATAAAGGGATTTTCCCTAAATGCTGTATTCATGATTCTATAAAAGTTTATGCACGTGTCCACTAAATATGTGGGCAACAAAGTTACTTGAAAAACCAAAAAAGGTGAGAAAATGACCCTGTTTGTGTGTTTGAGAGAAAAAAAACTCTATTCAAAGTCTCAGGACCTAAATTATTGCTCTGCTACATAAAAGCACTATTGAGATCAAGTTTTGCATCCTGATTATATGAGATAAAACACATGTAAACAATTACATGACACCTCGTTACAAGAAAAGAACTTTTCTTCTAATCAGCATCACAACGCAGAGATGTTAGTGTTAATTACAGGTGTCTTGACTGAGCTGACTTAGGCAAATATTTACACACCTAGCATTGCACAAGTGAAAAAAAAAACTCGCTGAAATCACCAAATTATTCATGTCTCCGTGGCAAATCTAAATCAACTCAGCATATTTTATCCCCGAGTCAGGCAGCAGCCAGGTGAACACGAGTATTGTATCTTAACTCATGACTTAGAAAATCCCAGATCTACTTAATCCTCAGTGCGATTATTCCACAGACACGGGCTTCCAAAACTGAGATGGAAGGACCCACATCCTGCTTAACGCTCAGTTCGATTATTCCCACGATATGCACAGAAACCATTCTCCCAAACTTAGACTGAATGCTGCGGACACCGTTTTCTAACAAAATACACCCAGATTTTCACCAGTTACTCCCCTATAAGCCCCATGGTTTAAAGACAGCTTTAAAGGGGAAATAAAACGCATAACGCGGAGCAGCGCTCCCCTCCTACGGCGCCCGTTTGCCTTCTCACCGGGCCGAGGCGCGGGGCCGGGTTTAC